TTACCTGACTATTGACCCTCTGAGTCAGTCCGAGGATGGTCACATGGGCAGCGTGAGACGGTGCTGCTTTGGACCAACGGTATGATATTTGGGTCGGTACGGACACCAGTTCGGAGGGGTTCCGGTTATAGTTCGGTATTTTGGTTCGGGGTGAGCTCAGTATCAGTGCATTTCGGGTTCGGACATATCAGTGTGATTTATTGTCAGGCTTGAGGCTGCTACGGCGATCTATTTCAGCTTCGTTGCCGCCATGGCGGTTTATCCCGGGCACGGTGCTATCGCGGCCATTGATTTCGGATTCGGTATGACTCGACACCGACATATTTTTTTTCCAGCTCGACAAGGGCTCGACATCAGCTTATTTCAGGCTCGAGCAGATCAGGGTGATTTATTATCCGATTTGGAACCACCACATTGATTTATTTCAGGATCATAACAGCTTCGACGTGACTCCGACCGTCTACTTCCGGATCAGCACCAACACGACAATTTATTTCAGCATCGAAGCTATTGCCACATTAATTTTCTGGTTCGGTTTGGGGTCGGCTGGCACGGTACGGGCTATTTCAGTTCTCTGCGACAACGATCGGATGTGTGTGTGAAAAACGACTCCAAATGATTGGTATGATTTGGTACGGGTGCTACGGTCGGATGCATTGTTACGAAACAGTTGCTGCAAAATACCGTGGCCAGTAGCTGCAGTCCTAGACGGCTATGCCAATGGGACTCAACGGTTCAATATTGAGGCCCTCTTCATCATCTTGGGTATGTACGGCACTGGCGTGAGGCTTTGGTCTGTCACCGGACTGGTACGGTCGTTGGGCCAATACAGCCAGGTCACGGGGCCGCGGTACCATTATGCTTGGCACAATTTCTGATTTGGTAACTAGGACAGTTCTCTTTGATTTCGACTGCAACGCCTATCGGTACCGTTGGACTGGAATTCCCACAGTACGGGGGTACCCGGGCCCTCAGTAGCATGTGCTCCGTAAAAGGCTACGCTCGCAGCATATAGGGGAAGGCAGCGAAGAGAGGAGGGACGCACTCAGTACGAGCAAGGTGTACCCGCGTATGCAAGCGCGGGGAAGACGCGCCAGCGCTGAGGCGGTTACTCCGCGTGTGAGGGGAGTGACGTGGGGAAAAGGAGCATGCAAGGTGTACCTGGCCCACAACATAGTGGGATCCAGGCAGGTCAACGCGTTGGGAGCAGCATGCAAGGCGTTCCCCGCCCACGTAGCATGCACGGAAGGGGTCAACGAGGGGGCAGTTGGAAGGAACGTGGACCAGAGGGAGAATAATTGGGCGGGCCATACCAAGCGAGCACGGAGATCCACTGCGACTGCTGAGAAGCTTCTTTCATTAAACTGAGCGAGTGACGGGCGTGGAACAACTGTTCTTTTGCCGCTGTCAATGGGAACGGCCATAGCCTTCTTCCTGTTTACCGCCTGTCTGCTGTGCAAAGAGGCATGTTCACTTACCGCTGTCGAAGAGAGCAATCATAACCTTCTCCCTGCTTACCGCCTGTCTGCTGTGCGAAGAAACATGTTCATTTACCGCTGTACATGAGAAGTTCGAGAACAACCATTGCCTTTCCGCTGAAACCGCCTGTCTGGTGTGTGAGGAGCGAGGTTCACCTACCACTGTCGATGAGAACAGCCATAGTCCCTCTGCTGATTACCGCTTGTCTGCGGTAAGAAGAGTCACGTTCACTAGTCATATCCTTTTTGTTGCCTGCCGCATGTCTGCGGGGTGAAGAACCATGTTCATTCCTCCTCTCCATGGGGGAAGGGATCAATCATTTTCGTTGATTGACAGGAGCAGCCACTTTCGCTGAATGGATGGCCAAACACTCTTGCTGCTGATCTGGGACCTTCAATTGTTAAGAAGATCAGCCGCTCTCGCCCCGGGCCAGACCAGCTGCGTTTCAGGTAAGTGTAGACGGATGACGCACAAACAGTGATGGGAGGACCAGCGCATGTAAGACATTAAGGATTGACCTGGAGTGAGAGAGAGAGTGTGTGTGGCGAGAGAGAGGGGGTGTGCGGAGAGACTGAGAGAGAGAGTGAGAGGATCAGACTGCGCAGCATGCTCGAGAGAGAGAGAGAGAGACAGGGGACTGAGGAAGAGTGAGAGAGCAGACTGAGAGAGAGAGTGAGAGGGAGAGACTGTGTGTGTGCGGGAGAGAGAGAGTGAGAGGAAGAGACTGTGTGAGTGCGAGAGGGCTGGAGAGTGTGCAGTTGAGAGAAGAGAGCCACGTTATCATTGCAACTGACGGAAGAGAGTCCGCTGCTGGCGGCGAGATCAGACACTCTAGATGGTGAGATCAGCCTTCTCCGCTGATGAGACCATCATCTACCCCCGCTGAAGGTGAGAACAGTCACTCTCGCTGGGGAGACATCGGGCTTTGCCCGCTGATGAAGAGATCAGTCACTCTAGTTGGTGAGATCAGCCTCCTTCGCTGATGAGATCTTGATCTAATCCTGCTAATGGTGGGAACAGTCATTCTTCCGGAGAGTTATTGGGCGAGGATAAAATGCAGTGCAAATAATGAATCTGACAATGTATTTTTTCATGATCTTGCTCCGGATTCATCTTATACAACTATACCAGATTTGCTCAGCCTGGCCCTATGAGTAGATGCTCAGACTCCATGATTAATGGTGAGTGAACCCTGGTAAGCGACA